ATATATGTATGTATATTCGCGCGTAGTAATCGGCACATTGGCGAATTTCTGACGACTTTATTAGTTAATTAGTTGACTACCGCTTGAGATTTATCGCGAAATCCATACTTATTTGTATGATTATATGCATCGTATATATGCATCATGCAGAAACATATAATCGCGCTATTGGGCATTTGTAATATGTAAACAGGTAAAGACTTACATGTTTCTTGAATTAAAACGGCTGACGCGATAATGGCGATTGTCAATATCAGAAGAGTGAGTTTGTACGACATTTTAACAATTATTTCTGCACTTCGTTATGCAATGCAAAGTTTAATAGGAGGTTTTTTGACCGATGTTGGCAAACGGACGGCAGCTTTTATATTAAACTTGTATTACGTAATATGATATGTGCATTAGCATCATTACGATGATTAATGATATGATAATGCTAGATATCATTTTATATCAAGCTATTAAAAATGCCGAAATCAATATATCGATCGGATCAAGATTTTTTTGTAAACAACTTTATTTACCGATCCAAAATTAATTTAAATAAAAATAGGTACGTGATATCTCAAGGCGAAAAATAAATATTTTCAAGAATATATAATACATATAAATGTCATATATATACACGCACATGTATGTAAAATTTTACAGGATTTCTATAGTAGGAAATAAAAACAAATTTATATATATTTCTTTTTTTTATTATTTTTGTTTGAAAATTTATGTTGCATTGAAGTTTATCTGTGGAAGGATTGAAACGGAAGCATATCCGTTAGCATATCCTTTAGTCTGACAACTACTTGAAGCGAAAATATCTTCATTCACAAAGACACGGAGGTGGTTTAAGGGATATGTCACCACACCATCTTTCCGTGCACCCCCATGTAGCTGTAACTACATCGCAAAAACATGTATTACATCCGTCAAAATAAGTAAAACCAGGTTCACATTTTAACTGGGCAGCTGTAAAAAAAAAAAAACAGATATTTTGACAATAAATATATGTATGTATATTCGCGCGTAGTAATCGGCACATTGGCGAATTTCTGACGACTTTATTAGTTAATTAGTTGACTATCGCTTGAGATTTCTCGCGAAATCCATACTTATTTGTATGATTATATGCATCGTATGTATGCATCATTCAGAAACATACAATCACGCTATTGGCATTCGTAACATGTAAACAGATAAAGACTTACATGTTTCTTGAATTAAAACGACTGATACGATGATGGTGAGCGTCAATATCAGAAGAGTGAATTTGCACGACATTTTAATAATTCTTCATGCACTTTGTTATGCAATGCAAAGTTAATAGGAGTTTTTTTTAACTGATGTTGGCAAACGGACGGCAGCTTTTATATCAAAGGCATTGCATAATATGATATGTGCATTATGATCATTATGATGATTATGCTGATTAACGATATGATAATGCTAGATATCATTTTATATTAAGTTATTAAAAATGGCGAAATCAATATATCGATTGGATCAAGGTTTTTTTGTAAACAACTTTACTTATCGATAAAAAATTAGTTTAAATAAAAGTATGTGATATTTCAGGGCGAGAAATAAATATTTTCAAGATTATATAATACATATAAATGTCATATATACACGCACATGTATGTAAAATTTTACAGGATTTCTAAGGAAATAAAAACAAATTTATATATATTTCTTTTTTTATTATTTTTGTTTCAAAATTTATGTTGCATTGAAGTTTATCCGTGGAAGGATTGAATAAACGGAAGCATATATCCGTTAGCATATCCTTTAGTCTGACAACTACTTTTGTCAACGGAAGCGAAAATATCTTTATTTACAAAGACACGGACGTGGTTTAAGGGTTATGTCACCACACCATCTTGTTGTGCAGATCCATGTAGCTTGAGTTGCATGGCAAGAACACACATTACATCCGTCAAAATAACCAAAACCATGTTCACATTTTAACTGGGCAACTGTAAAAAAACAGATATTTTGATAATATATATATGCTTTGTTGGATCAAAGACCTATTAGAAACAGAATTTGTAAAAAGGAAATAAAGATTTACTTGATGCTCCTTGAATTAAAACGATCGACGTCATCATGACGATCATCAACATTAAGACGGTGTATTTACGTGACATTTCACTGATTGTTTAATACTCTATGCACTTCGTTACGTAACGAAAAATTCGAATCGGGTGTAATTCTTCTACTGAGGCAAGTCAAATACGACGAGAGATTTTATACTATGTGTTGCACACGATGTATGATCTGTGATAAATTGTGATACAAGCGTATTTATTGATAAGAAGATTAAGGTTGATATTTAATCAAATTAAAAATTGTATTTTCCATGAATTAAAGTGGATCGTAAAATGTTATACACATTTCTATACTTAAAGTAAGTGTAACAATTAAAAGAATAGAATGTTTTAAGATAAGAAAGTAATAAAGTAATAAGTAGTATATTACGTATATTTTTTTCATGTGTGATAGCTGAACCGTGTACCTTCGGTGGTACATGACATTTCGATGATTATTTAACATATTTTATAGTTTGATATAAAACTCGACGCTGTTTTTACACGTTAGAAATGTATAACTTCTAACTTTAATGTCAGATTTTCTTCGCGCGATATGATTAGGATATAAGTCTCGCAATGCTGTTTGTCTTGTTAACAGTACGCAGCACATAGAAAACTCATATACATGGATGTAAAATTTATGGTATATGTATTTCTGAAATAGGAAACATAAATATGAAATTTACGTCGTCGTAAAGCGTTTAAAGATATGGATTTTCGTTATGCCCCGAGTTTATATGCGGGCAACAAATGTCTTTCTTAATATGCAGGCATGATTGGGAAATTTTTTTAACGACCTCGGCTTCGAGAAACGTAATTTCTTTTTTCTTCAAGCAACAAGGATATTAACACGTTCTTTAATATTCATCCATATATATCCTATCATCAAGATATTCTCATAGTTTTGTTTATCTGTTGCAGGCGAGAAGCCGTACCAGTGCACGTGGGAAGGCTGCACGTGGAAATTCGCACGATCGGACGAGCTGACGCGGCACTATCGCAAACACACGGGCCAAAAGCCGTTCAAGTGCCATCTCTGTCAGCGATCGTTTTCGCGGAGCGACCACCTGTCGCTCCACATGAAGAGGCACTGATGCTGAGGACCGTCTAGAGAACCGCGCGACGCGAAAGAGAGAAAGCTGCCCGTCGCCGATCGCGACGGGAGGAAATAGAGGAAAGCTTTGGAGAACGGTCCTCGGTAATCGGCTGGGTGATCGCCGAGCCGATCCTAGACGAGAAACGACGATGATATTTCTTACATTTGGGACCTGAAGAGCCGCGCCGCGCGCCGGCCCGTTCTGAACCTTACCGGTCGGGAACCGGTCGGCCGGGCGAGGCAGCAACCTAGGAAAAAGAGAAAATTAATCGGCGAAGCAAACAAATTGCGTTCATTAGATTTAGCGCTTAAATCGCGAGCTATGTAAGTAATCGCAACACCGATCGGCTTCGATCGGCTGATTTTTTCGGTGCTGTCTCTCGCAAGCCGCTTTTCAACGGGATCTCCCCGGAAAAGAGTGATCGTATAGCTGCGGTAATTGGGCTGCCGGTGTCGGAATTACGAGCGTTGAATAATCGCAAGAGGAGATGATCATGATGTTTTATCAATTGCGTCGGGCTTTAAGCGAAGGC